TATGAGTCAGAGATAACTCAATGGCACCTAAGAACAATAACAAATATCAGAATCTTGTAGGAGGATTATTTTGAGATTGATTTCTCTTGTAGAACTAGGCATTGTTAACACAAAAAAAGTTACCATGTAATATTCAACAATTAATTTTCATTGAATGCATACATAAAAAACAATAAAATTATTTGGTTATTTTGATATGCTATTTCCAAAATAGGATTCCATGGTATTTGTAACACTAAGTCAAGACTTTGGGAAGGGAATGGACTTTATAATTTATTGTATTCAATTTTATATTCCACATGCTACTGTGAATACTTCTTAAATGTAATGCCATCGGCTAAGTTTTAAATGTCTTTAATTTGTAATTTAGCATTGTAGAATATACCAGATTCAAGGAAGAAGGAAAACACCCCATCCAGTTGATTGAGAATTAGGGTATTTTTTTTTCCCTACCTGCACTTTAAATTACTAAAAGAGAGAGAGACAGACAGACAGACAGAGAGAGAGAGAGATAAGAAAAAGGAGGAAAGAAGCACATGAAAAAAAGTAATTAAAAAGGAAAAAAAAAAAAGATTTCCCTTTCCACCAGTTTTATGTCCTTACCAGTGCACACAGAAGATCAACTGCTTCCAAGATCAGTTCCTGATGGCCAATGCGGCTGACCCCCAGATCTTCTAGCTCCTGGTGTGTAATGCGCAGCAGCTGGTCCCCACTAATCTTCTCCCTCTCAAAGTTCTTAATATACTGCTGCAAACAGTCATCAAGACCTACAAAAGAAAAATATTGAAGACTAGAATGAAACATTTGAATCAAAAAATAGGTAAGAGATAAACAAACATAAGCATTAACTCTTAATCACGTAGGAAGTTAAGTCCATTTCAACTCTGGACTAGTCTAATCATCCAACTTTCCTCAACCTATATGTGAACTGCAGTGAAAAAAAACCCATCTCATCATATTCCTGGTTGTTAGCTCCCTACTTGAATTTACCTTAGCTATTGTTAGCTCTCTTCTCAGCAGATCTCCTTGCTATCTATTTCATAAAAATGGGCATATAAATTCACTCATACCAGTTCCCCTACTTTCACGCTCATCTGCACTCCATTCCTCTTTTTTAACCCCATTTCTGAAAAAATTTATCTTTTTGTGCTCTGACTCTGATCTTTGGCCATCTTAACAATACTTCAACCATTAAACAATTGTCATCTGTTTCAACCACTTCTTATTCATTAACTCCTATGTTCAAATCTCTGCCCTTAAAAAAAAAATCTTTCTTGATTTCTTTGATCTTGTGTTCCCTACTAGTCTGTCATTCCCTTTATTGCTAAGCCTCTTACCTTTACATCCTCACCTCCAATGCACCCATTAATCCACTAGTATTTGAATTTTACCTCTACAACACTCTTGAAACTATCTTTTCCAAGATTATCCAGGCTACTTCATAAGTGATTAGTCAGGCTATAGATTGAAACAGCCTATATAAATGAGGCAATTAGCAGAAACTTAAAGGTCTTTGTATCAACTCACTCACTGCCATCAAGTCAGATCTGACTCATATGGCGACCCCTCCTTGGGTTTCTGAGGTGGTTATCTCTATGGAAGCATATTGCCCAACCTTCCTTCTGAGGAGCAGTTGGTGGGTTTGAACCACCAGCCTTCCGGTTAGCTGTCAAATGCCTTAGGCACTACACCACCAGACCTCCTCTTTGTATTACAGAGGGAGCTAAAAGGCCATATGGGCTATATTCTGGCAGAAATTATGGCACAATAGAAACTATAAGCAAGTAGAGAAACAAGTTTAGAACAAATGTGCAAAGATAAGCAAAGTCTCAGGACAGAGATTATGTAGGTACTGGGAGAAGAAGAGAGAGTCATAGTCTTGAAAGCTTCCTGGTTTCTGATAGGGTCTAATATCAGGTCACACATGGCCTTATACTCTCCAACTTTGTTAAAGTAATCTGAATTACCTTGTAACCTCTCTATTCTATCTTCTTTTTCTTTCATTCTCCACTGGTAATATGCACATAATTCTGTTCTGGGTCTCTTAATTATTTGTCCATGCCTTCTCAATCCTCTTTCAGGATATCTGCCCCCTTCCCCACACCAAAAAAAAAAAAAAAAAACCCTCACTGTCCATCACTCCTAAAATCTTTTTCACTTTCTCTTTTATACATGTATGTATATATGTATAAATGTGTATAGATACTTATATATGCATATATAATACCATATTATTTATAAATAATCAATGACTGCATAATATTTTGAACTATTTGTTTTGACTGAAAGGTAAAAATCAATATATCAAATCTGTGTATACAGAAAATATGGCCCAGAATGACTAATTTATAAAAATCACAAATGGACATGAACAGATATATGCATACTCATGTTCACTGCAGTATTATTCACAATAGCAAAAAGATAGAAACAACCTAAGTACCCATCAACAGAAAAATGGATAACCAAACTGTGATACATACACACAACAGAATACTACACAACATTAAAGAAATACAGTGAAACTGAAAAATATCTCATAAATTGAATGAAGGATGAAACATGGAGGACATTATGCTCAGAGAAGATAGTCAATCATAAAAGAACTATTACTGTATGAGACCACTAGTGTAAAAAGTTAAGAAAAGGTTTTCATACAAAAAGAAACATTCTTTGATGGTTACCAGGGATGGAAGGGGAAGGAGGGTAAACCGCTAACTAGAAGGTAGACATATATTAAATTGGGTGAAGGGAAAGGCAATATACAATAGGTGGGAGGTCAGTAAAAAAAAAATGATCAACACAAAGGAAGACACTAGAAGGAGTACAGAAATGAAAGACAACAGAGATAAATACCATTACAAACACAATCCTATAGTAACAGTAATAACAATAATCTACAAGTGGATACAAAGCTAGACATTCGAGCTAAACAGCTGTGGGAAGGAGAATGGGACTATAACCACAAATAAATAAAAGCTGACAGAGAATATTTCTTCATATGTATTTACATATGCTGCAAATATATCCATGAATATAGTAGAGCATACAGGGACAAAGTTATGAAAACTTCTTAGCCATAACCAAAAACCTTGAAGGAATGAGTCAATGGGCCTGGGGATTATGACCATAGTCTCAGAGGACATCAAGGTCAACTGACACAATACAGTACACAAAGGAAATGTTCTACATCCTATTTTAGTGAGTAGGGACTGGGGTCTTCAAAGCTTGTGAGCAGCCATCTAAGGTACAACTACTCGTCTGCCCACATCTGGAGCAAAGAGTGAAGAAAATCAAAGACACATGGAAACAATCAGTCCAAAGGACTAATGGACCACAAGAACTTCAGTCTCCATGAACCTGGGACCAGAAGAAGTAGATGGTACCTCACTACTACTGCCAACTGCTCTGAAAGGCAACACATTATAAGATCCTGTACAGAGTGAGAGAAAAATGTGGAACAAAACTTAAAATCATAAAAAAAAGACCAGGCTTACTGGTTGGATAGAGACTTGTGGAATCCCCGAGACAATGGCCCTTTGTCACCCTTAGGACCTAGAATTGAACTCACACCCATGGATCAATTTCCAGCCAAATGATAGGTCTATAAGGTGAAGATAACACTAGTGAGGTATGCACTTCTTAGAACAATCAACTATTCAAGATCAAAAGGCAGCATTTGCCTAAGGATAAAAGTCAGAAGGCAGGAAAGGCTGGGAAAAGAGGAGGAATGGAAAGAAAAACACAGGGAGGAAGTGAGAAGAGTGGCACTACATTGGGGGATTGCAATCAATTGACATAAAATAAAATGTGTATGAAGTGTTGAATGGAAAACTCATTTGCTATGTAAACTTTCAACTAAATCACAAAAGTTTTTTTAATAACAAAATGAATATATTATATAACAAGGCTAAAAGACTGAACTTCATGAGTCATAGATCTGTGCAATATATGTGTAATTAAGTACCTCTTACCTAGGTACACCCATAGGGATCCAGGTGAGGAGAGGGAAATCAGGCACGCCCAAAGCAGCAGGGTGGGAGAGCAGGAAAAAGGGGATTAAAAGCCAGGAATACGGACAGAGGAGCAGTAAGCCACAGGGATCCAGGTGAGAAGAGGGAAATCAGGCACGCCCAATAGGAATCTGGACAGAGGAGGAGTCAGCTGCAGGGACCCAGGTAGGGGTGGTAGGAGAGGTTTCCAACAGGGAGACAAACTTGTCCATCGGTTTGTCCTACCGTGGTGACGTGTTGATGTGAGTTTTGAGACTGAGCCACTGGTGTTTCTAACCCAGTGGGATGCACATGGTGCACAGGTATCAGCCCAGGTTACAGACTGAGACAGACTAGGAAGAAGTAAGAGGCTGTCCACTTCTCAAAGAATTGGCCAGGGAAAACCTTATGAATAACAAAGAAACCCTGTCTGATACATTACTGTGCAAATTTATGAATAGTCTGGTTAGGTTAAAAGGCTCTCAAAATAGGACTGTGAAAGAGCTGCATCATCTGAATAAACCCAGCCTTACTCCTATGGATAAGGTAAAGCTTTCAAGAGCTCCATTTGCTGATGTGGCACCACTCAAATTGAAGAGAAACAGCTGCAGACATATATTAATCATCAGAAGGACTGTACGAAGTATGAATCTAGGAAAATTGGAAATTGTCAAAAATGAAATGGAACGCATAAAGATTGATACCCTTGGCGTTAGTGAGCTGAAATGGACTGGTTTTGGCTGTTTTGAATCAGACAATCATGTGAT